CTGGCAGCCTCACATGGCCACTTTCAGCAGCCTCCCAACAAACATTATAAATAATGCCCACACTCTTCCCTTCCTGCTGTGAATAATCTCTCCTTGCTTTAATGATCTGAAGCTGTAATACATAAGTGTGTATTCTCCGATGTACATCCACTCACAAAGGTTTTCTCACGAGACGAGTGATGTGAGGTTGAATAATGCATCCACGAGGGGCGTTGAGGAGCCACAGGCCACGTGATGCACAGGAAGCTTGAAAACAAATTTGCTGAAGCCTCACTTTCACCTTCCAAGTCCTTCAAACTGAGATTCACACAGATGACTCGGAGGCATCCAGGTTCAAGATAAACACAAATTTTTGTAAAGAAACTATTTTTCCACTTGCAGGTCAGAAGTAGCTCCTTTAAAGGATCTACCAAAGTCTGACGGTGCACATGATGCCGAGGTTCATGTGGCGTATTTCAAGGTAAATCACTGCAACATTATGCATCACCTTGGTGGAAAAAGCTCTTCAATCCTCGCTGTAAACTCACAGGTCATTTCGGAACAAAAACGAGCCGACCCTCACACAAAGACATCTTTCGCTCTCAAATTTTCCATCCGTTCCTTTTCAAACCAACAAACCAAAAAGAATGCTTTCATCAGCACATCACAAACTCCTCCGACGCGCCTTTTTTGAGCTTTGCTTATTTTCTTAAGGACAAATCAAAGGTTTCTCAAGGACGAACTTGAAACGCCAAGAAAACCTTGTCTACATCGCTCAACAGATAGTTACAAGATCCTCTCGGCGCTGTATTCGTATGCTGTGCAGTGGCCCATCTGTAGCAACCTGCTGGTGATTACTGACAGATGGCTGCTCATTATTTTTCTATATGGCTGTCAGAAACCACACATCGCATTTATTTCACATGGTTGCTGCCATTCAGCACGGGCGGCGGAGCTTGCTTAAAAACTGTAACAGTTCAGGATAAAAAATAGTATTTAGGTTCATGTTACTGAGATCAAGTTGTGTGATCAGAAAAAAAAAATTGCTGTTAGATACTGGGCTGGATGCTACAGGAAGCATGCTAACATCTGGCATGCTAACTACGCTAACATGCTGACTAATGTGATTATGCAAGTTTACTGCAAGTCACAGAACAACATGAATTGCTTGCTATTGTCTTTTTCCTATTTCTTTAAACAATTCTAGACAATTTTGGAGAGTTATTTTCATATCTTTATAAGGTTTTTAAATGGAGTGTGATGAGCGACATGTGGATCTGACTGACAATCATATTTGCGCGTAGTTTCCTACATATGATCGGGACTTGGTAATCCTGAGGTAGACGCACTCTAAAACACCCCCTGCTTTAATATCTATTGTTTAATTTACAAACTGAATTGAAACTAACGAAAAATACTATAAACCCATGAGGAAAATGTTTCCAGAGGAAATGAATCAGGTAAGAAGTCGACTCATTTTCTCATAGGATTCTACACAATCGGATTTCTTGTCCAACTAGAAAAGTCGCCTCCTGCTGGCTGTTAAAAAGAACGCAGTTTGAAGCACTTTTTTTCAGAACCTGGGGCTACATCCATCTTTTATATACAGTCCACTGTCCAAACAGGGTGTTGTGTGATGCACAGTCCTCTAAAGCAAATGTGTGATTTGGAATATTGGAGTATACAAACTAAGCTTGACAGGACTTAACATCAATCTGTCAAACTGTAGCGACAATATTAAATTGCAGAATTGTGAATGCATTGTAGCTGAAAATGTTTATGGGCGCCAGGGGCTAGATTTGTGACACAGATTTGGTGCAAACAAGGACTTTTTATTTCATGATTAGTAACTTTTAGCTCAAAAAGCTAAAGATCAACCAGTGCAAAGAGGCCTTTAGTTTGCTAGCACGCTAATATTTGCAATTTAATTTAATACTTGCAACTGAAAATACATCTGAAGCTGACAGAATTGCCATTGATTTTGACCTGGGTGAAAAGGTAAAGGATCAATAAAGTGATAACAATTCATCCGGAGGGGAATGTACATTTCTGTACTTAATTTAATAGCAATGCAAAATAAAAGGCACATATGTGAACCTCATGGTGGTGCAAGAGGAAAAGTAAGATGGCTTTTCTGGGACCCATAAATATGCCAAAAAAAAGACGTCACTAGAGTCATGTCAGTAGCAAAATAAAAAAGCAAAACTAGCAACACAACAGTGCATACACAATGAACATGATACAGATAAGACATTCCCTTTGTGCTCCCCAAACACCTCCAAAGCAAACGGCTGCGACGACGTGTCACGGAGTCGGAAAAAGACAAATTGCCTTCAGGGTTTTGCAGAGACAAACAGAAGTGAACGCTGTATGATCTCCCAAGTTTTGAGTTCACTGACCATCTGTAATGATCGGCGGCAACTCTAATTGCAACGGCTCATCTCCAGTGTAATCAAAATTCAGGGAGCACATCTATAATCAAGTGCAATTAATCTGCTAATATCCCCCCAGTGTTGGAATAATGGGGACATTAACAGGGCTCATCTGTTGTGATTGCTCCTCCGCTGTTTGCTAGGTGGCTTATTCACAGCAGGAGACGCCGAATGCTTTTTGACAGGTATTTTTCAGCATTCATATCGCCAAAGTCAATTTGAATAAACTACTGTCATCTCCCATAAGGGCTGATCCGGCAACACAAATTTCTCCTCGCTAAACAGGTTTCCAATCCTCAATGAAGTAGCGCATGTAAATTACCCTGTCCCATTTTGCAAACAATATCGATTGTGACAGAAAGGCTTCCAGATCATATACGGGAACATTTGTACATCAGCCGCAGAAAACAGCTCAAACATACGATGATGGAAAGGAAGCGAGTGAGTGAGGGTGTCAAATAAAAAAATTCCCTTTTGCAAGAATAATAAGTGGATAACGGCGCCGTCTATTTATGCTGAGAAGACGTGTGTGTGTGTGTTTCCTTGCAGCTTGATTGGAAAAATCACATATAGGCCATCAAACTGAACCTACAGCGAGAGCGGCAGGTTCCACGGCCCCCCTTCACTCACACTGATTGGCTTGGGGGCGTTCTCCAGCGTTTTCATTTCACAGTGTGAGATAAATGGGAAAGAGGAGAGTGTAACCGGCAGAACGGCGGCAACGCTGCGCTTTTCATCCTGCCTCAAAGTTGCGCTTAAAATTTCACAGCAATTAACGCGTACAAGCGGCAAAATACAAAAGACGTTTTACATTGTTAATTTCTTCGCTCAATTATGCAAAGGTTACTGATTATTTTTGCGGAGAGGCGGCAGCGTCGTCGATGGGGAGGCAAGAGTGAGGCATCAGCATAAATCAGAGGCAAGGTGCACTCTAAAGCTCCAGCCCACATCCTTGACTGCTGCTGACTTTCAGGCATTCATAATATATGAAATCTGTCTTTTATAATTCAACAGAAAAAGGAAACATGCCTTGATAGTGATTTACAGAAAAGACAGAGCTGGTCCAGAGCTTTTTAAAATTCCTTTATGTGATGCGTTTGCTGGTAAAAAACAGAATGAATGTATGGATACAGTGCATGATATTCCTCTTGCTGTTATTCATCAATGTTTTTTAAAGTATTCAATCTAACACGAGCCTATAGGGATAAAAAAAAGTCAATTAATCCAGGTTTCTATAGCAACTACTTGGAAAATTGAAGCTATTTTAGCAGACGGCTGTTCTGTTGACACTGCATTTCAAAGGATTTTACAGATTGCTAACTTGTAGAAGAAAGACAATTAAATGGATTGAACCTTTGAGCGAAAATCATAAACTACACAAGAAGAGGGAGAAGCTCCGTCTTCCAGACTTTATAAAAAAATGATTCTACTTCAGAGAGTGATGGAAAACATACGGCGCTTCTCATCACATAGTCTGTGGGATTGGAAGGATTTTTTTGGCACCGTCTTTATGAGATTCTCTTTTTTGAACGTGTGCAATTCATTCCCCCAACAGGTGAAAGGTTTCATACCTATGGAGCACACGATCGATGTGTGCTTCACATACGATGAACGTATTCTCTTCTTCGGTGGCGATTGAAACGTGTGAGGGGGAATCTACAGAGCACGATTCTGCCCAGAGGGTCTGTGAATGAGCGGAAGAACGAGCAAATTGTCTGGAACATTTGATGTGGAAAAATTCCAATAATCACGCGGAATATAAAGTACATGTAAATCCATATCAACCTTTTGAAATACGAGGCATGAACTTTTCTTCTTTAGACCAATATGCTGCAGATCAATAAGTCTATAAATCTCCACGAGCCAGCCAACAAGGGAAGGTCAAGGCAGAACAAATAACCACAACACAAATGAACCGAGCAACCTCTGTGAACAGGAGGGGGTCACCGTGAGGTTATAGTTCACCCAATATGTCAGCAAATCCCCCAGGAACCCCGAAGAGGTGAGAACACTGTCCCCCGTGGAAATAGGACAGAAAAACAGCAGTGTGGACAGAATAAAGCCACAGCACTTTATACCCAGCTCACATTCATTTTTAATGAAGTATAATAAGTCACAGCACTGGAGCAGAAATGCAATCCCCAGCCCAGATGATCTAACAACACCAGGACTTTTTTTTTTTTTTCACACAGCATATCCTCTGACAGTACTGGAGGCACTGAGGCAGTGAGCTGAATGTTTTCAACATCTCTGCAAACAGACATCGCGACCGAGGTGTCTCTGTCTCTCTAGTAATGACAACACAGACAGAAAAAAAAAAAACCTCCTCGTGTGACAGAAAGACGGAGAGATCGAGGTGGTTGGATGCTTCAAGAAATCCTTCTTCTCAACGCTGGTCATTTCGTTATTTATGAAATCGCGCGCTTCGGCTTCGTTTTTCAACGAGCGTAATAAAATATCAAGCAGCTCTGCGTGCTGCCAGAGTAGAAAACATTCATTTGGAAAAGAAAGCATCCAGCAGTTTATTGGCCTGCTGACTGAGCTACAAAATGAGACAAGTGATGAAATGTAAAGAAAAGCAGGAAATACCTTTAATGGTGATGCTCCCCGTGCTGCTCGCCACGCCAAACTGGTTCCTCGCCACGCAGGTGTAAAGGCCCGCGTCGGATTTGGTCGCGTTCCATATCCGGAGGTTGCCGTTGTCCAGGATGGAGATCCTGCGGTTGAAATAAAGCAGATCATTTAAATGACTGCCTGCCACAGCATCAGGGTGTGCTATTAGTAATACGTGTTGCGATGCATGCATTGTAAAATTTAACAACGTGGCATGGGGCTGACGTAGCAGAAATGCTAAGTGACTAACACGGAGCGAAGAACATTTCTCAGTGTCTCTAATTAAGTTTTTCCCCTTTGCAGATGACAACGATGAGAAATAGTATAGTGTTTTCAGGAGGAGGGGGGGGTGATTAATTCAGCACATGACTTGAAGATATCCAGGACAACAGTGGCTCCGTGCCCTTTAGACAACGGCCACAAGTGCTTCAAAAAAAAAAAAAAGGTCGAAAGGCCCTAACAAAAGTTGACATTTTCTAAATAACAAGCAAAAATGGAAATTGTGCCCTTGAACGCGAGGTACTGTGGGAAATCAAGGGTGGACCACCTCGTCAAAGCACACTGCATTTTAATTATCTGGAATGCTCTGCTGATTCTGCAAACTGTACATGTAAAACAGCCTGATTGTGAGGAGGGAAAATGATGTGTGGCTGCTAAATCGCTCCGTTCGCCTACAATCACAGAGCGAACAGAGCTGTGACGTGGAAGGGAGAGTTTCAGAGATCCACGCAAGACGGAGGACGGAGCTGAAGACGCCGGCATTGTCTATTGTTCCAAGCTGCAGTCATCAGTTACTTCACACGCCGGAGTTGCCCGTTGCGACAGAACTTTCAGAAAATTACCACCTGACTCCACAGTTCCCCTCAGGAACAATTCAGGGTTTTTAAGTTCACAGTTTCAATTTTAGGGCCTGCAAATTCACTGCTTTGGTAATGTGCCAATTTACAGCTGCCCTCATGTGGCTCACTCACACTTCTTTGTGCATATTTTTATATTTTACCTGCTGCTAAACAGTAGTCGGCAGATGGCTTTTATTTGGGATAGAAATATCTAAAATTTAACGGTTTTTAGTTTAAGCCACTTTTAAACCAGTGTTGGAATTTCCAAAATCACAGCGAGTGTTACAGCGCTAATTACTTTAGAGTTGCTTATTTACACATCCAGCAGAGGACGAGCAACATCTGGAGCTGGGTTTTTTGGCCACCTGGTGGATATACGCTTTCATTTGAATTCTGATTCGGTCTCTTTTTTGTTCTGTTTTGCCTTTCTGCAGTTTAGTGCTGGATAGGTAGTGCACAAGAAAAGAGCATATTTTGTTGAAAACAACTGCCTGTTAGATGAAAACTGCACTACGAGCACAAAGACAGTGAAGCCGCAAAGTAAAGGTTTTGGCCAAAAACAAATCCGTCAAGCTCAGAGACGCCTTGAAGCTCAGCGCAGATTAGAATTCTCTGTGGGTTTGTCCCTGGTTAAAAGAGGTAGAAGAAGTACTCAGATCTTGTCATTAGGTAGAAGCAGCAATACTACAGCTACAGCTACAGGAGTCACAAGAGTGTTATAGGTATCATGTCAGAATATTGCACTACATTGTACTATTAGTGGGATGCAAGGTGGAGCAGTGGTTAGCACTGTTGCCTCGCAGCAAGAAGGCTGCCGGTTCGAGTCCCGGTGGGGGCACCAGAATCTTTCTGCGTGGGTTCTCTCCGGGTTCTCCGGCTTCCTCCCACACAGTCCAAAAACATGTTGAGGTTAATTGGTGATTCTAAATTGTTCGTAGGTGTGAATGTGAGTGTGCTTGGTTGTCTGTCTCTAAGTGTAGCCCTGTGATAGACTGGTGACCTGTCCAGGGTGTCCCCTGCCTTCACCCTGAGTCGGCTGGGATAGACTCCAGCCCCCCGCGACCCTAATGAGGATTAAGCGGTGTGCAGATAAATAATGGATGTACTATTAGTTTATTATAATGGATGATGGGTTCATGTGTTCATCACGTTAATGTTGCAGCTGATGAAGACGCTTTAACTACCTTATTTAATTTACTTATTGGATGGCTTAGTAACTCCCCCTCAGGGATAAATAAAGTTTTAATATAATCTATAACACTACACCATCATTCATTTGTTGATTGCATTTTGCATTAGGGTTTCTAATGATTAACTGTTGATTGGTTTTAATAATCTAGCTGATTGAAATTAGCTCGGTTAACTAAAATCAGGTTTAGTTAACACCATGACACAGACTTCTGTAGCAGTTAATGGTCTCCAGTCAGCGTCTATGCACAGCGAGCTCAATGCAACCCGGGTAGCGTGCCTTTAGCCTCACAGGAAATGCTTGTCAAATGCTTGTTTTCAAAGTTTCATAGTGCCAATTGTTGACTAACTGTTAGGCTGACATATTTATTTACTGTAACAAGACAAATTGCTCAAATTACCTAATGTGTATTTCATCAATTTCTGAAATTTCTTCTGTATGTGAGTTGATTTTGCAGTAATCAGAAAGGTGCTGTGGTTAGAGACGGATAAATCAGAATATGGGAAAAACTCCACTGCATATAATTCATTTTAACATTTAACTGGATATTTATAGTCACCGTGGCTGACTACTAGTTAAAAAAAATGCTTATTCTTATTATTAAAATACATTTACAAAGCAACTAAAGCTGTCAAATAAATGTAGAGGAAGTGTAGTGGAGTAGAAGAACGAAACTACTACAAGTACAACAAAATTGTACTTAAATGCAGTACTTTAGTGTACTTAGTTCTACCATTGCTAGTGAACTCTTGCAGCTATACGTAGTCATGTGACCCATATTTCAAAATAAAGTTCTGTTTTTGTAATCTTAATTAGAAAGTAAAAGTTCTTCCCTCCTGAGCTCACAGAACGTGTGCTGTTCCTCTGACCCTCCACATCCACTGCTCTGCAAAGCACCAATTAGATCAATATGCCACAACTGTATATGTAAATACTGCATTAATTAACACCGCAGCAGGGCTCAACATGTAAAACAACGTTCTGACAGCTGAGATACTCACTGATGCAGTCTGAGCTCAGTGGTAGAGTTCTGAATGACACACAGGAAAACTGTTCATCAGCTTTCATTGCGACGTGAGCGACAAACTGTTTTCCTGTTTGCATCCAACACTTGTGAAACGCAGTTCGGCAGAGTGTTAACTTTTCCTTCCTCTGCTACACTGGGGTCGTTTTCAAAGGGGTCGCGATAAGAAAGTGCAGTTAGTGTAAGTGAATCTACTTTTAAACCACATGGTGCTGCTGAGTGGAGACTTCTGGGTTTATATCAGTGCTGAGAGAAAAGTGCTGAATGCAGAGTAGCCAACAATGACCATCAGTTACACGAGGGCATATCGCAGTGTGGGACGGTTCGCCGTTAACGACATCAAACCTGCGGGCTGATAAATTTGAAGAAAGCGGCCCATTAAATGTCACCACCGTCCTACGACTGACCATAACCCTGCGCAGAGTAAGCACAATTAAAACAACTGCTATACATTAATTACGTTGCTTGGCTGGCATTTGAAGGAAAGGTAGCGCCGCGTACCACTGCATCCATTAAATAGTGCCACAGTGAGTGAAAGCTGTAAGCAAAACGGCAAAACATATAATTTTAACTAGAACAAGCTCTGACCCAATTCAAGTCAACCAGCACGAGGCTCACAGCGATATCTCAACATAACTAAACACCTGCATTTGTTCACCGCGCTCTGTATATCCACAATCCCCTTATCCTCGGGGACAAAACAGCTATCATGTGGCTGGTGCACCATGCATCTTGTAAGAGGGGCTCTGCGGAGAGCAAACAAGTTGGCGCTGCATGCCAGCACCAACACAGTTAAATCAGCCTTCCTGTGCAGCCGAGTCTGTTCTTGGGCGTTCACTGGAGGACCTCTAACTCTCACCGACGCGACACGAAAGAAAGGCCAGCTTTCGGCGGAAGGGTTCATCGTTTCAGTATGAAGCTAATGGGAAAGCAGATGAGGTCAAATACAGTAGAAGTCAACCAAAGCGCAGGAGCGGTGAATAAGAGATGGAGGCTTACTATTAACACATTTCAGTTTTGCTCCGGCTCTCCCCTCTTTCCTCACCGCGGCCCAGACAGCATGTCTGCGCGGACGTGTCCATTATGCGAGGAGACATTTCCCACCTCCATCCCAAGAGAAGCCAGCGGAGGGGCAGGTATCAATAATTCACAGGTGAGATGAACACAAGTGCCACTCCTTTCATCCCCGCCTCGCACGGGGGTTTAATGGACATGGCTATAATTCTCCTAAAAGGAGGCGATTATTTCGAACACAGCGAGATGTCAAAATGCACTCGTGTAATCCCGAAAAACACAGGTGTGTATTTTGGAAGAGATCAAGCCTCAGAGGACAGGGGCTGTACAGTGTTGATCCTCCCTGCTCTGTGACAAGATGAAAGAGACAAATAACATCAGTCACAGAGCAGCTATCACGGGGCACTGTGAAGTGGAAATCGCAGGAAAGAGCCCGGTCCAAAGTAAAAGCCTGTTTTTGTTATTTCCTTACATTCTCTTTGAGACGCTGTTAACAGATGCAGACGTTGGCTTTTTGTAAAGCTTCCCCACAATCAAAAAGACACTTGAAAGCCTTGTTTTGATGTTTCATTCAGACATATTTTGTCTTTGATCTGTTTGATAAATTCTACGTTGTGAGAGGAAACTGTCACAATCCAAATAATGAATCACAAAAAAAAGAGGCAAGAAAATTGCGCATTGAGTGCAGCGGCTTTGAACTGAGTGCCGGCCTGGAAACGCGGAGCCGGTTTTTCTAATGGCAGCAGCAGCAGCAGGAGCCTCAAATAGAGAAATCATATTATCTCGCTTTCTACATAAACACGCTAAGTCGCTAATGCTGTCGAAGAACACGAGTGCACTCATAAAAATTCAACATGCAAACAATATGCATAATCACAGATCAGATTGTGATTTGAGAGTTCCAAACGGGACCATTCTTTGAATACTTAGCGATGCCGTGACGCCGCCGCGGCTGATTGGCAGCCCGACTGGAGGATAGAGGGCCTGTATGCCTCTCTACTTAATTAACGGGGTAAATAAAACCGGCTTGTGAAAATA